TGCGAATCCTCATCAGTCTTTTGGTCAATCCTCCATTTAAGACACAGATCACAGCACTATTTTATTCCCAGTGACAGATGGAGGGAGAAAGGAAATAATGATGCTTGTGTGGGGGTTTGTACCATTTGCTTTGCCTATATTGTTTTTTTTTTTTTAATGTCAGGAATATTGCAACATGACACACACTGATCAGCCGCTGCATTAAACCCACATTTTGTGTCGGTTCTTTTCACGCAACCATTTTGTTGCGTGGCTCAGTCGGGGTGTTTGGTCTGCCACAATGGTGCTATGTGTAACATCCACATGAATGACAGCACCCATTTTGTCCCAGGAAGGCATTGTATTAAAGCATTAAATCTGTCAGTGGTTTTAATGTTGTGTATATTTTCAATCAATACATGAATTATTAAAAAAAATAAAAATAAAACAGTTTGAGCTAAATGTTCATCTAAGTCAATACCAGAGCTTGCTGAAAGCCCTTCACAAACAGTTTTACCTCTGCTGTTTTCAGCCACGGTGGCTCCACACTGCAGCCAGCACCTCTTTGATCAATAGAAGTCCCACATCTAGCCAACCCCTGTCTACATCTTGGACCGGTGGCAAAAAACTCACCTTGGCCCAGAGCAAAATGTCCTTGAAAGTTCATATGCCCATGAAATTAAAAATGGAGGAGCAAAGCATGCCGCGCATAATTAGTTATACCCATTTCACTTTGTTCACATCTTATTTGTTGAGTGGTGAAATATTCATGTGAGAATGCAACTGCTGTCCCCTGTGGGCCACCAAGGTGATTTATTGTAGCTTGTGACCAGCCAATTCTCTTTCTGTTTGAGAAAAATAGCAAGTGCACAGAAAATGCAGCACACAGGCTGAAAAAGTAGACGGTTTCACACTGCTGCCAACGCAAGAACGGCCAATTTTATATATATGTATATATTGTCAAAGAAGAGTGGGTAGGACTCTTCCGCACACAGTGTGTGTGTTTTGGTTGTCATTTAAATACCATAGTATGCTAACAAGTGTATGTGTGTCTAGTTGAAACCTAATTATTGTGCTGTACTTTTATCTTATTCAGACATAATGCAAAAATATGTGTGTTTTATCTTTAAGACTAGAGATATTAGGCAACCACACAAGTACCAGCTGCTGTAATCTACAACATTTGATAAATCATTATTTAAAAGATACAGTCATATAGAAAAATGGATAATAGGAATTCTATGTTTCACTGTTTCTTAACAGAAATTGCAAAACTGTTCTGGTAGCATGCTCTACCCTCTACTGGTATAAACAGAGCACAACATTTAATTAGCCCAGTCACAGGGACCTGAGTGCTCAGTGACAAAAAACAGATCAAATCCATGTAAACCAGAAGTTTGATTTCTGGCTCAATGCATAGAACTGAAGATAAAAATGAAGGTGCCAGACACTATTGTGGTGAAGTAACATCTTATTCAGGCCTACAGGCTGAAGGCCCGTTCTGTTCCTCCTTGCTGCTCTGTTCTCACCACACCTCTCTCGTCTGTCTCGGTTCCGTCTGTCCTCCATTTCCTCTGTCTCCTCTCCTGTCTCCATCCCTCTTTCTGTTTGTTGCTTTTTGTATGCTTCCTTCATCCGCTCCAGTCTGTCCTATGTGTCCTTGCTCTGAGGCCAGAGAATTAAAATTATTCATTTTCACCGGTCTCTGTTTTCACTGTCCTCTGTGTTGCTCAGTAGTTGAAATGGCTTACTCATTTTATTGCCTTTTTTTGTCTGTCCAAACTGTTTTTTGGGGGGGAGAATCAGCTTCTCTTCTACTTTCACACCTTCATTTTCTCCTTCCTTCCTCGTGTGCTGTCCCAGCCCACCTCTCTCTGGACCTAGCTGACCTTTCAAATAATGAAAAATGAATTGTATAAAATGAATACAGAATCCAGACTCATTGTTATCCCTACTTTGATTACATTGGCACATAAGTGCTGTTTCCATGTCTGCCTTCATTTTCCTTTTATTTCTCTCATTGTTCAGTGCAGAATACTACTGTTTGTTAAAAAAAACGTAGCAGCCCAGGCATCCTTGTGCTCAGCCATGTATCCTCTGCTCCTCCTGTGGGACACTCTGGAGTTCCTCTGCCAAACTGAATCTATACACACCCTCTGGTTGGCTCTTGGTTGGCCCTACGTTCTCCTTGCAGTCAGACATGCCAACAACACCTCCGTCTGCAGGCGCCCAAGTCAGATTACCAACCTCAGTCATCTCAGCTGGCCCCTTTTCATTGTGAAGAAGCAGTGTCTCCCTGAGCGCTCCTTCTGGAGCTCCTCGCTCAATGCACAAGAGTGAACTCTGACATCTCGTGAAGGCGGCTTGGCATTTTCATTCTTTTGACCCACTGCTTCAGAGTGAGTAGTGGGGAATAGATCTGCTGGGAACATGAGAACTTAACCTTCAAGATCAAAGATAAATGAAGTCCTTGATTTGGACCACCAACTTGTTCCCAACCCAGAGGAGGCAATCCACCGTTTCAAAATGTCTGGGCTCATGACATGCTTGGTTATCATCAAAATGTGGAGCTCGTGCACCGTGACTCAGTGGTGTATCACTTTTTTTTTAGTGATTTAGTGGAAACCTTACACCCCCTCATTCTATTTTTCCTCAGTGAATGAGAGTCACACGCAGTCAGAAAAACAAATACGAAAAAAAAAAGTCACGGTGGGACCTGATGTCAGACCAGTGGGGGTCTTTATGGGTTCAGTCTCGCTCATAACACAAATGACAATGAACAGTTGCATTTCACCATCACGTACCTGTGCTAACATGTTTCAAGCTTTCAGATTTAATATTGCCTTGCTGTGTTCCGTCAAAAGTCAGCCGTCCTGCTGTGTTGCAGAAACTTATTTTGAAACATTTCTTCCTGTTTTCCAGGTTGTCCGGATTCATGCTGCCCTCCCCTATAGTCAGCAGTGGATCCATACTGGCCTTGTGGTTTACCACAGACTTTGCTGTGAGTGCACAGGGCTTCAAAGCTGTATATGAAGGTAAGGAGATGTGTGTCATGATACACAGACATTTTCTGAGGCAATAGTGATGTCAAATTGAGTAAAATGAGCAAAATGTTTTGGGAAATTTGTTGCGAGTAACAGTGAGATTTAAGAAGGATGCTCTATACTATGAATGGAAATAAGCCTCGAGATGACTGCTGATCATTTAGAAATCAGACTTTGTATGTTCAAAAATATCTAAATGGTGAGAACAGTTGAAGGAGTTACGAGTGACTTTTATGTCATGTGTTAAGCGAATACCAATGTTTCACACTTTGGCTGCAAGTGCTGTTGATTGGAAGGTTTCATATTCAGGTTATCTATTTAATAAATGCCTAATCTGGTGTTTTATATAATAACCTGGCATTTCTGGGATCAGAAATTAGAAAGAAGTTCCTCAGTAGACTCGGTCAGCTGCATCCCCACTGAGAAATCAGGCTGATTAAGTCTCATGTTGATCGAGCTCTGACATACATCCAACTAATTTCTCTGTGCTTTAGGTAAAACTCTACGGTTGAGCTCTGCTTCTGATTTATGAGAACAACCGCTCATGTTAATAGTTCTGTGTGGGCGAATCTTGGCTCGCGGCCCAGAGCTGTTGTCTTGGTTGTCCCTCCATCACTTGGGACTACTGTAATGTATAAACTATATATGTACACGTGCGCTATAAGCGTGTGCTCGTGTGTCCCGTATCATCATTTCTACAACGAGAGGCGAACCTTCACATCGGTTCTTGCTGTGAACACTCCTGGCTGCATGTCGTTCTGCTGTGTGCTACGACCGCGGTATACAAGACTGTACCATGTCTGCGTGCCTGTTGGGATGCGACACAAATGCTTAGCCTGACCTTTTGAGGATGCACACACACACACACACACAAAACAAACACCACACACACACACACACACCGAGATTTCCATTACGCTTGTGTAACGGTTCATCTATGAATCATGAACTCTAAATATCAAAGACAAACTCAAGAGAGAAGATATACACACTGCCTCCCCTGTGTGTGTGTGCGTGCATCTGTTTCACTTTTTTCATCCTGCTCGATCCGTGTACTGTACATCCTCGACTTTGTGTGCTTCCCTGGATGTGTGTCATTGGAGTGTTTGTGTATGTTGAAAGCAAAGCTGACAGCCATTAAACCTTATTCCAGGAAATACTTTGTCTTTTACTTTTTTTTTTTTTCCTTTCTTGCCTTTGTTCTGTTTCGCATCTGTGGGGACCCTTAAGTGTGTTTGTTGCCTCGGGAGCGATTGGAAGTGTGTGTTTGTTTGCGCGTGCATGCATGTGGTGAGTGTGTAACTGACAGGTCTTTCTGCTGATATCTGTTTTTTTTTTTTTCCGCCTGCATTCTTTTGTTTTTCATTGATGTCCCAGACGTCAAAAATTGATTCATGCCCGTGTGTGTGTGTGTGTGTGTTTGCGAGTGTGTAAAGAAAATGACACTGCTGCATCAAAACAAGGCGTGATATTTCTAAATGTTTTGTTTTGTGTGTATATGAGATAAGTCGTGTGATCAGCCCCGATATGTGTGAGTTCCTTAATCTTTTTGTCAGTGACTGTTACTGGAGTTTATTGGATTCCAGTGTAAATATAAAAGTGTAAACATCAATAATAGTAATGTTGACTAAAACAATAGATTCATATTACCAATTAGATTTAACATATCGGCAGTTTATTCAGGAGAGCAAAGCCGGACACTGATGCTGTAGATGTAAAATGCCATTATAGACATACAGTAGAGTTACCACCAAGTTAATCTGGTTTTACTGTTCAAAGGAATGTGTCTATCAAATGAGAAAAACAGTTATCACAAACCACACCCTAAGGCACTTTTAATGCATAATTTAGCAAGACAAAGTGCATCGAAAAGGTAATTGCACGTGTAACATAACACGCGTAAAGATCACATAATAACCAGCTGGATATCTTACAGTGCAGGTCGATTGAAGGGAGTGCTACTCACACTGCAACTCTGTAAGCACGTTGCAAAAGATAACACCAAAATGCTCTCATTAACTGAAGTAGAACGTAGTCGTGACTTCTTGATTTTGGCACCAGTCTATCACAGGGCTACACTTATAGACAGACAACCAAGCACACTCACATTCACACCTACGGACAATTTAGAATCATCAATTAACCTCAACATGTTTTTGGACATGGGGGAGGAAGCTGGAGAACCCGGAGAGAACCCACGCTGCACGGGGAGAACATGTAAACTCCACGCAGAAAGATCCCGGGTGTCCTCACCAGGACACGAACCAGCGACCTTCTTGCTGTGAGGCAACGGTGCTAACCACCGAGCCACCTTGCAGCCCAGAAAAGTATTTATTTTAATCTAGATCTGTTGTTTTAAAGAATCTGCAGAGTTAGACAGGCTAAAGTTTGTTTTCATTCAAAAATTTGGGACCTCCTACGATTTGAAGATTCAGAGTTTAAAGGTTGATATGAATGTAATATTAGATGTGTGCATGTCTGGACTGACAAAGGGGAAAGTTTCCTCACTTTTTGTTTATCCTTTAACCTCTGTTCTGTTGAGCTATGTAAATAGCCGTGACCTCTATCCATAGCTTGCATAAATTGCCTATGTAGATACAGTTCCAAAAAAAAGGCTCACCAGGGTCAGGAATTTGAATTGATAACCATCTGAGGTCTTGTGTCCCCTCACATGGTGCATTTTGTGCCACTGTGACTGAGCAGCTTTACAGACTCGACACGATGATGATGATGAACGTGTCACCGTTTATTAATGAAAACCAAGAGGGCTCAGTGTACCGGTTAGGGGAGGGAACATTTGGATTCATTTGTATTTGATTGCAGTCAACAAATTACTAATCCGACACTTGCGACTGTTGTTCCTTTGCTTGTGTGTTGACCCATCTGATGCTCTGTGGTTTATTAAAGCATAGTCCAAATCCTCTACCTACTAACTCACCTGGAGCATTTGTTCTTTGGCGGCACCGTGTGCGCTGTACATATCTTTAATGATTAAATCTTTGCATGTTGGTATAAGTAATGCTGTCAGCAGATTTCCCTATGGAATAAAAACACAAAAGTAATCTCTAAGCTTGAATGCCACGTGAGATCATTAGCCAAGTAATAGTTTTGGCAAAGATGAAAACATGTTTTGAAATTCCCCATGAATCCACAAATCTTGGCCGACCACATCTCCCTTCTTTTCTTTCTTTCATCTCATCAATCCTCTCACTTTTTTTCTCCCCCTTTAATTTAAACTGATTTACACTAACAAAGAATCCATTTGGCCTGGCCTTTTTATTGTCCCTACCAACCCGTCGCCTCCTATCTGCATGCCTGTCTCTGTTAACATAGCCAGTTCTCTTAATAAATCTGTTTTCTCTGTTCTGTCCTTTTATTAAAGGAAACCAAATTGAACTATAAGTCTGAACACATAGCTAACTGATAAGACCTCAGTCGCCGGAGAGAGGGATGGAGCGAGAGAAAAAGAGAGAGGGAGAGAGGAGGGGGGGGTCAAATAAAGCTCTAAGTGGTGGAAAGCAAGGCCTCGCTGATAAAAAAAAAAAAAAAAGCAAGTTTGCAAACCAACTCTGCAAGACAAGATAATCATCAATTAATTTCCCCTGAAGCAGAAAGAGAGACAGACGGAAGGAGGGAGAGAAAGAGAGGTGTGTGGAGAGATGATGAGGGAGGAGTAGATAGACGGGGGAGGCTGGGATTCGTATCTGTCTATATTTTGTTGTCTTCGCCACATCAGAGGCAAAAAACACAACATTATTCAAGAGGACAAACATCCAAGATTTGATCACGATCATCAGCAAATCAAAAAGAGAATTGCGTCACTCATCTTTTATGAACAGCGATGGCGGTGTGATGATATTTGGGGATCTGAATGTCGGATTTTTGCCACATGCTATTCACCCGTCATCTCCCTCACCGTCGTCTCCATCTGTTTTCCCCTGCAGAAAAAATAAAAAAAAGAACTCATAAAATGATTTGAAATATTTATACACTTTTACAGCTGCTTCATCAGGAGTTAGACCTGGAGCGATAGCTATGGATTTGTGTGAAACATTATGGATTAGGCCCTGGGTTGTGTGTCCACTAGGACCCTTTCTCCACAATGTCAGTATTTTTTTTTTGAGTTAAAGATTCCTTGGTGTGCATTCCTGCCGGAGCTGGGAGCTTAACATGTGTTTTGCACTCCTGATGCCAAATGCTCAAAGTTATTAATATTTAAACTTTTAGTAAAAGACTGCCTTGCCTCAAATGAGTTTGCAATTGTCGCTTAGCAACAAGAAGCACTACCAGCACTTCCCCTGAGCATTTTTTAAGTGCTGCTACCTGTAAGAAGAAACCCAGCGGATACAAGGCATTACTTCTTGTTCACAACAGTGACTGAACGGTTGGTTTTTTTTGCTGGCAGGTTGGGAAACTCTTGTCAGTGCAGCTGTGACGCTTGTTACTGACATGAATCTCTTTTAGTAGAAATTAATTTGGGATGTATAGCTACAAAACTAATTCAGAAGGATGATAAATAATAAATATGCACTAATTAAAAAAATTAAAAACTAGCACATTTTCTGTTATTATTGTTTGTATTATTATTTTAGTTTTCTTTTGAACTTTGTATATTTAATTGCTAAATGATGAGGCTAGCTATGTAAATAACTAGACAAGTAATTATTTCCTGGAGAAAATCTGTTTTTAAAAATTCTCATTTAAGGAGAATCTGCTTACTTTTTCTATTATTTAAGCTGTTCTGGCTCCACAGGTCAGGCCAACATGCATAAATAACGAGCAGTTTCCAGCAGGTTTCCAAAGAATAAACCTCAAAATAAGATTGGTATCATTTTAAGCATTTGTTTTCAAGGCTGACAGAAGGTAAACACAAACATCAGTTATTTTAAACGCATCAGGGATCTTCATCTAGCGCTCCATTTAGGATGTGTTCATATGAAGAGATAGGAGCTAATAACATGCCTCATGTCTGCAAGTTTCTGGATTTCAAG